CGGTGTGCGTGTGTCTGTGCATGACAGGACTTCCCGTCCTGCGTGATCGTGCCACCGGAGGCTGTGAAGGAGCTGCCGCCCCGCCAGGTGAGAGGCCACCGCTGGCCTGGCCACTCAGCCAATTCAGGTGGCACGCACGCCCGGGCGACCTCGCACCGGCCCGAGTCAGAGCACGCCGCCAGGCGGGGAGGGGGAGGGGGCCTGTCACCCGACCCAGGGCTCTCGGTGTTCCCTCAGCGACACCTGACGGCCACGCCGGTGGTGATCTGCGATCCAACCAGGGGTCGCTTCCGTGAGCCGACCCTGTTGCCGAAGAGTGAGTGTTCGCGTAGATCCGATCAGTGTCTCTGAGAGGCGCCTAAGATGGCGCCGCGAGGCTGGGGTGACCGATGGACTGACACAGGGCCGGTCCCCGCGTGATCACGGCCCTGTCCTGCCGACGCGCCGGTGAGTGATGAACTGCGACCCGAGCCCCCTGGTCGTCAGTCCCGCCCCTGTCCTGCCGACGCGCCGGTGAGTGATGAACTGCGACCCGAGCCCCCTGGGTCGTCAGCCCTGCCCCTGTCCTGCCGACGCGCCGGTGAGTGATGAACTGCGACCCGAGCCCCCTGGTCGTCAGTCCTGCCCATATCCTGCTGACGCGCCGGTGAGTGATGACCTCCGATCCGAGCCCCCCCCCCCCCCCCCTGTCGTCAGTCCTGCCCCTGTCCTGCCGACGCGCCGGTGAGTGATGACCTGCGACCCGAGCCCCCTGGTCGTCAGTCCCGCCCCTGTCATGCTGACGCGCCGGTGAGTGATGACCTCCGACCCGAGCCCCCTGGTCGTCAGTCCCGCCCCTGTCCTGCCGACGCGCCGGCGAGTGATGACCTGCGACCCGAGCCCCTGGTCGTCAGTCCCGACCCTGTCCTGCATTAGCGTGGTAGCGCGTCCTGCTCCACTGCAGAAGACGTTTTCGCTGCCTCCCCACCTAACCGTTTCGAGACGGTTTCCACAGTACCATGCTGCACAATCGCGCGGTGTCGGTAGCGTAGCTTTTTGTGGCCTTGTTTGTGACTGACGCAGGAGTCGACCCGCTAGTCAAAGGCTTCTGACCGCTTGAGGCTGCGCGCTATCTGCCAGCCTCCGCCGTGCTGAGCTTCGTCCCGGCCGTTCGCACCAGGGCGTCGTCCGGGTCCTTCGCACCGGTGCAGTGCCGTATCGATTGTTCGTCCAGCTGTGCTGTAGACGTTGGATTCTTTGTTTCGCCCCGCGATCACGGCATCGGAGAACTCGACGAGCACATGCCAGGTGCGGCGGGATTTCCTGGAAACGCCTGCATGACACCAACAAGCCAATGTTATGATTGTCGCATCGACGGCACTGTGGCGGCGGCTCGTGTTGAGGCATGAGGCGGCCGATGTCGTGCCCGGCACGCCTCTGTGACGGCGCCCTCCGCCACCGTCGCCGCCAGGCCCGCGAGCGTCCGTTCTCCGGCCGGCGCACGTTCCGGCTGGCCATCAACTGCGTGCGCGCCGCCGTGCGCATCCAGCGGCTCAAGTTCACGCCCGAGGCACTGTCCGTGTCGGTGGCCGTGCTCGACCCGTACCGGCTCAAGTCGCTCAGGAAGGTGAGCCGAGGCGGCCGGCCGACGGTCCGCGCCCGCCCGCGCCCGCGTGCGCGTCACACAGCCGCGGCGACTGACTGCGTCCGCACAAGGACGGCGGATTTATTCCGGAAGTAGCTGAAAGCGTGTTGTGGATGTTCGATGATGTACAGCTGTTGGTAATGCGATCGGAGTGCTGCTAGTGACTCGCTGAACTGATCATAGAGCTGTTGCCTACTTACCGTTAGGAGACTGGTAAAGGCCATAGAGGCAGTTTATAAAGCGTGGTATAGGCTTTACTCCCTGCTCGTTGTCTGCGACAGAGTGGTGATACTTGCGGGATGACACCCAGTCGAGGCCTTGGACGCCTGTGGGCGTCTGTTCCCATTCTATATCGTGAGCGGTGACGCCCGGTCTGTTTCAGATCATCGACGCGTGCGCGTTCCGCGTGTACGGGCACTGGGTGAAGAAGGCCGAGGGCCAGAACCGCGCCATGCTGTTCGAGAACATACCCAGGACGGACCTGCGTCGCACCGCCCTGGTCGCCGCCAGCTGAGGATGCGGTTGCTCGGGAGCGTCGGCGGCGTGTCCGCCCGGTGCGTCCCAGACGGCGGCCGGAGTGTCCGCCCGGTGCGTCCCGGACGGCGGCCGGCGTGTCCGCCCAGTGCGTCCCGGACGGTGGCCGGCGTATCCGCCCGGTGCGTCCCGGACGGTGGCCGGCGTATCCGCCCGGTGCGTCCCGGACGGCGGCCGGCGTGTCTGCCCGGTGTGCCCCGGACGGCGGCCGGCGTGTCCGCCCGGTATGCCCCGGACGGCGGCCGGCGTGTCTGCCCGGTGTGCCCCGGACGGCGGCCGGCGTGTCTGCCCGGTGTGCCCCGGACGGCGGCCGGCGTGTCTGCCCGGTGTGCCCCGGACGGCGGCCGGCGTGTCTGCCCGGTGTGCCCCGGACGGCGGCCGGCGTGTCCGCCCGGTGTGCCCCGGACAGCGAATGTGCGTGCCCCAGACAGCGGCCGGTGTGGCCGGACAGCGGTCGGCGCAGCCGCCCGGTGTCCGGCGGGCCGCGTTACCTGCCTCTCCAGTCGTATTATTAGAGCTTTCCCGGCGTGCCGCTGCCGCACGGAGCGCGTAGTCCTGACCCGCGCACTCAGGAGATGCATAGTGGGCGTTTTAGCAGTAGCGAGTAGCATGAGCGTGGACCGAGTGGGGAAAGGCGTGGCGTACTCCCGGCAAAGAATCGCACGACCTGGCTCTGTGGACGACGTGGATGTGGATGTTTCAGGTCGTTACTAAGTAGAAAAAACCACATTCGGTCCCAAACACATTGTCATGCGATTGTACACAGTGTATAAATGAAGCAACATTGCGCAAATGGTCCGCCACCTTGTGAAATAGTACTTTTGACGCCGGCCGGCGTCGTCCACAAGCGCTCCGCGGCGAGCGTGCCCGTCGCTGTGTGCCCAGCTCCCCGCCGGTCGGTGTCGTTATGTTGTCCCTGTCGCGGCCCGTTCGCCGGCGCGGTGACGTTATCATGTGACGGCGATTGAGGGCAGACTACAGCCTCTCACGGCAGGCGTAGGCGGCCCGGCGGTCTTTGCCCTTCGCTTGTGCATCCGGGAGCACGGACGGCGCGAGGACGGATCATGTGGCGGTGATTTGGGGAGGCCCTCCCCTCCCCGCCTCCAGCGGCTACGGAAGCGGCCCGGCGGCTCGGTGCCTCAAACCGTTTGTTTAGGAGTGCGGCCGTCGACCCGAGGACGGGCCGGATTGACGAGAACGAGTGCAGTGCGTCTCCGATTCGACGCGGGATTGTTTACGCTTGGAGAGCCTCTCGTACGCGGGTACAATGCGTGTCCTTGCCCACCCTGGCATTTTACTCGACATGTCACTGCAAGGCTGTCGACCTAACTCGCGATCTGTACGTTGTGCATCTAATTGAATACACGAAGGGAATTCGAATCGGTGTTTGGTTCTTACTTGCCTTCAGCATAGTGGATCGGCTGGACAGTGGTTGTCGGCATTGGGAGCCAGCTGCCGAAACAGGAGGCGAGCAGTCTCAAGACAGCCTGCCGTTTGTAATGTTCCGCCGCACGGTGTGGGTCTCAAGTCACTGTAGCGCCCGGCCGTCGAGATCTGGGCGCGGTTCCGACTCGCGTTATGAACACATTCCGCGGTTAGTAACGCATTCCTTTCCCACGGCACTCAAGCGCGCGCTGCATTAACAGGCACGTGCCTGGCAGGAGTCTCAGTGAAATACGTTTCACTTATCAGTGCACATATTTGCAACCAAAAACCTGCCGTGCGTGGCAGTGCGACGTCGCGTTTCGCGCATATCTTTGACGCATTGTTACGGTCCTCATTTTATTTGGACCTTACTTGGTGTTAAACGCAGCGTAGGCACTGGGAAATCCAGCATATTTTTCGACAAAAGGTTCTCTGCCCTCCTCCGTCATTCGTGAGCTGTCTGGAACGCCTCCTTCAATCATTCAGCCGTAGTTCGGATTGGCATAGGCAGTAAGACGACTGCATTCCTGTACTGTATAGCGCGAAACACCACGTCTGGATTACTTTGTTCGCACTGCAATGTTGTAGGACAGCCTAATGCCTTGTAAACGAGTGCTTTCCAACCTGCACAGCACGGCTCTTGGAAGAGTCGCATGCCTCATTCCTGAAACCTGCGCAAAGTCGCTATCAGCATTCCAAATATCACCTACGTGGGATTACGGCCACGCCGGGCCCCAAAAAATTGAAAAACATTTCCCATGCCGGAACAGCTACACGGGTACCGCCGACTGGTTCACTAACAGACCGGCGTGACCATATATGGCCGAGTTCAGCGCCGGTCGTCGGTGATTGGTCGGCGACCCGGTCAACGATCGCCCACAGACATCGTTGGCCGCGCACCGACTCAGCGGCGATCGGGCGTCACTTCGGCCCCGCTCACAAATGGGCACCACTAAACAGACATCCACGCTTTTTACCGGCGAGAAGATCGGAGCCATACATTCGCTATTCTCACCGGTAAGAGGATCGGAGCAGACACTCACGATTCTCACCGGTAAGAAGATCGGAGCCAGACATTCACGATTATCACCGGCCAGAACATCGGAGCCAGACATCCACGATTCTTACCGGCCAGAACATCGCAACCAGACATCCAGCAAGAAGATCGGAGCCAGAATATGACATTCAGAGCAGCCGGTGAGATCGCGCCCACTTCGTGCTTCGTGAAATCAGAACGCGTGTAACACTGCGTTCTGCGCCCACTTCGTGCCTCGTCGACTCAGAACACGTGTCACATTGTGTCCCGCGCCCACTTCGTGCCCGGTGGACTCAGAACGCGTGCAACGCTGTGATCGCAACACGTAATTGGAATCCATAGCAGTCTGTCAAACGCTCAGGATATAGTTGTAAAGAAGTCTTAGAATCTACTTGGACGATATATTGGCGACGCATCAATCAAAATAAACAGTTGCTTTGTGTTAACGTACCCAACGTGAGACACGTGAGTAAAAACTGCTCGAGGTATTGTGAAAAAATACGCCGTAGTTTACTTTGTTCAGTCTCGAGCTGCAGCTCGCGCCTCGCCGGTACACCAAGTGCCGCGGACATTGAGCAATGCTTTTCGCACAGAACAACAGCAAGGTTGGCTGGCACACGGGAGTACACATTAGCAACAAATATGCGCACGCACAAGCGGCACAGAAACAAACAAACGGCGAACTGGGAACGGGACATGGCGCGAAACTCAGTACTGGCGAGTTTTACTAGACGGTAATCGGATGCTAGGATGTTGTACCATACGCTCTGTTCGGAGGTAGTCACTGTATCTTGAGTCCGAGTGCTTGTATAATGAAGCAGTAGATGTCAGTTGATTCATCGATCTGGAAAGCCGTCACACAACTGCCTTAACCCGTCGCCAGCAAAGACAGACGGGTACGTACCATATAAGGACACGGTGCGCATCGCCCCTGATGGAGCCCTAGCAAGCTTAGTTAGCGACCGCGGCTTTGCTAACGAAGATCGTGGGGTTCAATCGCATTGTTGCCAAACACTTTCAAAGCTTTCATACATACGTGACTACCGGCTAAACGTCCCCAGCTCCCTTCCAGGACCGGCCATCACCTAACCAAGGCCGGGGAAGAAACTGGCCGACACATTGTGTGAACAAAAACACCACTAGCAAGAACAAAGCCCGAATAATCATTAGTCCATTCTTTGGCGACTACAGACCCTACAAGCCCCCCGAGGCGTTGATATCAGCTGGGAGTCGAGGCGGGCTCTTCCACGCGGAAGCTGGCGCCGTTAAATTCTGGCGCATTTCGGCCCCGACCACCCGGTTTCCTGCCCAGTGATGAAAGAGCGTTCATGGGGAGGAGACCCACGCCCGCACGGACACCCGCGCAGGGGTGACGCTCTGGGTTTCCCTCAATTGCTACTGCTTTCTAGCGAGTCCCCCTGGGAATCAAACCTCACCTTGAGGTGAGAAGAGGGGAGGGGGAGACAATACCGCTGTCCTACGACCTTGACACACCGCGCACGCGGCCCACGCTTCCGCCCGACGAGCCGGTCGGGAGCGTGGCCGAGCTCCGCCCGCCGCCCGCCGGGCCGGCCCGCACCCCAGCTCCTAGACTCACCTGCTTGGCAGTGGGCTTGCCGACGCCGTGGCCAGCCTTGGTGTCCACCCTGATGAGCAGCGGGTTGGTCTGCGCGGCGCGGCCGCTCAGCACGTGCTGCAGCTCGGCTATGTACTTGAGCGAATGCAGTGGCACCACGCGGTCGTCGTGGTCGGCCGTCAGCAGCAGCGTGGAGGGGTACTGCCGGCGCCGGGGCCACGCCTCAGCAACGGCCAGACGGGCACTCCCCCGCACGCGACCCCAATGCCATCAAGACGCGGGGCAGGGGGAGACAATACAGATGTGGGTGTTGAGTTACCGAGGTTGCATGGCAATGGCAGCACTGATGTACACGCCACAGGCAGTCACTCGGTGCGATGACTGCTGGTGCGGGTCCCATATCGTCGCCAGCACCACCCGGAGTAGGACGAGCACTGCTAGACGACACGGGCTTTTGACGGCCGCGGACACCATCTGACTGGCGAGCGGACAGGAGTCCAAAGTCTGACGATGATGCTTGGACGCTTGCACACAAACCCACGAGCCCCACCCTTCAGCCGGCATCGGTCGCTCCGGTGCCCCGGCCCGGTCGGCGTCACGCCCAGCGGCACCTGTTCGTCGTCGCCCTTCGGCGGTCGGATGTTGTGCAGCGGCGAGTACTTGATGATGTTCTCGAAGTGCTCCTTCTCGTCAGGGTTGCCGAAGTCGGACACCCAGGCGTAGCCGATGGTGAACTTGTGGAAGCGCAGCATGTCCATCACGCTGCGGGCGACGTGGAGTCAGCCACCCATACCGTGCGGCCCCCGTCACGCGCCAGATCGCTGGTCACGACACCGCTAATACCAGCTCGCCTGGCAACAAAACACGAGCAAGCGCCGCACCCGTACCGCACAGCTCCCGACCCGGAGCCGCAGCACCGACCGTCTGACGCTGACCAGCGCGTGAGCACGCCGCGCGAGCGCGCCACGGCAGCTGACAGCCCGACACCGAAGCTCTGCCGAACTTCGCTCCTTCGTTTCACTGTCACCCTCACCACCGCGGCATGCGCCCCGAGCGCGAGCGCGTCCCGGTGGCGGGTCCGCCGGGGCGCGCCAGCGCTTCCACCCACCCGACGTGGGCGATGGCCGCGCCGAACAGGTCCGGCCGCTGGTTGACGGTGGCGCCGACCAGCAGGCCCCCGTTCGAGCCGCCCTCGCAGCTGATGAGGCGCGCCTGCGTGTACCGCTCGGCGATCAGGTACTCGGCCGCGCACGCGAAGTCGTCGAAGCAGTTCTGCTTGTTGAAGAGCCGGCCGGCGTTGTGCCACCGCTCGCCGTACTCGCTGCCGGCGGCGGGAGCGCGGCGTCAGCGGCGGCGGCGCCGTGTCGCGCTGGTCGGGTCAGCTAGCGGGTCTAGCAGGTGGTCACGACGCCTTAATCCATGTCACGACAATGCCGCCACGGCAGGTTGCTACAAGCTTGAATTGTTAGTAGGTGGTCCTTGCGAGGCAACATTTACCACAACATTTGCAACCGACCGCAAGTCCGCGGTTTGCAGGGGGCGACGTCCACCAGAAACGGGCAGAGCATGTCAACTGGGAACGGCAAGCATTCCACTACCGGCTTTCAAACGGGCCACACAGGTCCGCGGGTTATGTAACGTGGAAGCCCATGCCTCGGCAGGGAAGGACGGCGGGTGAGTGGCCACCGCCGACACGCGGCAATACGAGCCGAACGCGGACCGTGTCGCGCGTCGGTACCGGTCGCCGCCGGATCACGTCACTGACCCGCCGCCGCGGATGTTTGGCAGCGCGAACACGCCGTCCAGGTGCTGCACGAACACCAGCTTGGACACGCTGAAGGTGGGCGTGATGCTGATGTTGAAGCCGCCGTAAGCGTACAGCAGGCACGGCGCCGAGCCGTCCCGCACCAGACCCTGCAGCAGCGGAGGCGGCGGCGGTCAGCTGAGCTCGACCGTCGGGCGGCAGCGCCGGAGCGGGCGGCGCGCGCTTCCGGTCCCCCGCCGCGACACGAGGTCCAGACAGACCGCAGACACGGGGCCGGCGCCGGAGCGGGCGGCGCGCGCCTCCTGTCCCCGGCCGCGACATGAGACCCAGACAGGCGCAGACGTGGAGCCGGCACCCACCGCGGCGATGGGGCTTTACCGCTAGGGCGATGGAGCTTTACCGCGTCAGCTGTGATGACACTGTGATGTGATGACATTGCAAAGCCTGCTGTCACGATCTTGCACCGAAGGCGTATTGCCCGTGCAGGACGGGTAAACGTCACAGTGATTAGCTAGACGCATAAGTTTGACGGTAAACAACAAGGAACGAAAACGCCGCAAAGCACGTGTAGCAAGACAAGGCCGCCCGAACACATTGTGTAATAATTTGGACAATCAAATTAACATGCCTTCTTATGCATGATGAACATCGGTATTTTCGTACCGTCCTTGCTCGAGTAGAACACCTGATAGCACTCAAACAAGGACGGGTTGAAGCCAGCGACGGATATCTCCTTGAAAATCTGCAACAAATGCGGGTTACAGTTCATAATCATAGACGTACGTAGCCATGAGACCAGCGAGGCAGCTGAATACAATTTCATGCACGGGCATGCATGACCTTCGATACTCTCATGAACATCAAACATCGACCGGAAATCGCGGCGCTCGCCTGCGAACTCCAACTGAACTCCCCTCCCCTCCCCCCTTGCCAATGCCGGCACAGCCAGGCGCTGTCAAAAGTCTGCCCCAGGCGGGCTGGTGCGCCGTCTGCTGCCCACCTCTGGCTTCACGGTGGGCTGGCTCAGTTCACAGCGATAGATAATGCCCGGCGACAGGAATGACGTGAACTTGTAGAAGATGGCCGTGTCCTTTTTCTTGCCCGAGTAGCCGACCACCGAGCCCACCTCCAGCGGGAAAGTAGAGATCTTCTCCCCGGTGTCCAGGCTGTGTAGCTGCAGAATGTTCTGCGGCCCGAGACAGTGACGGCTGGTCAGTGGCGCACCGCACGTGTTTGACACACACTTCTAGAGTAGACAGTTTATCCCAGCTCCCTTCAGCTGCGAAGGCCCGTGTAATAAAACGCGCAGTCTTACCATTAATCCACGAATACGGCCCGGAACACAGAACGTAGCTCAATGCAGATGAGCATAGAGTTGCATGCAGCCTCGACCAACAAGGGTTTAAATCGCATGTTAATACAAAAAGGCACGAAGCCCATAGTACACTCGCCGCGAGTACTTGTTAAGGATATCAATGTATTATCACGACGAAAACGATCATCCCATACACAACCTGACTCGGCAGCATCCAGAACTGTCTCCGCGATTCCCATCCTACTCAACTGGAGTTGTCAACTTTGCTGACCTCGCTATGGCCAGACGTGACAACGAGCAAAACACACCACATCGGGCGAGCCTTCGACGACAGCCTGCCACCATGAACGCCCATGCCGCGACACTGACCTTCCCGTGACTTTATCCCCCTGCCGCGACCCCATTCCTGTCGCATCAACAGCCAGCTGTCACCCAGCCAGTAAGCCCGTGCCGTGCCTGAGCGTGACCCTGACTCCTCGCTGCCACTAGACTCCTACCTTGACGTCGTGCATGTAGCAGACCACCAGGCGGTCGTTGTTGACGCAGGCGGCCCAGTCGAGCACATCCTGAGCGTGCTCGGCCAGCAGCACGCTCCAGCCACGCGCCGGCTGCGCCAGGTCCAGCGTCGCCAGGTGGTAGTTGGGCGCGTCCTTGTTGGTGCGGAACACGCACACCGAGTCCGTGTTGGTGACGTACTGCGGAGGGGGGGGGGGGGCGGCGCCGGTCAATGGGGTGACGGCCCGACCGAGCGCGCCACCGGACACGCTCCGCCGCCGCCCCGATGCGCGGACGCACCAGGCGTACCGCGAGAGGTCCGGCCATGGCACGCCGGAGCAGCGCTGACGATCCATCACGCACGGTAATGCCACAGGGGAAATGGCGACCCGGCCCCACGACGGCAGCACGCGAGGCTGCTGCCAGGACCCCACGATCAGCGGCCGTACGCCGCGGGGACCAGCGCCGCTGACGTGCGCCGCCTTTCCATCACCAATCCTGCGGCAGGGCGGAAAGGCTGACCAGCGCCGACCGCAGCAATCGGCTGCAAAACATCGGGACGTGGGACAACAGCGCGGCCTGGCCACCACGCCGCCAGTGTCCGGCTGTGACGAGCGGGGCCGGAGCCGGGCGCGTCACGCCGCCGGCTGCGGTTCATCCAGCCGCGGCGAGCCTGAGCGGCGGCGCTCCGTCACACGTGCCATCACCTCGTAATCGGCCTCGAACTTGTCCACGATGCAGACGGGCGAGAAGGAGGCCGCGCGGCCCGTCCGGCAGGCCCTCCAGGTCCACGTAGTAGACCATGTTGTCCTTGCAGCCCTCCGACAGCAGCAGCATCAGGTAGCGGCCGCAGTCGCTCACCTCCGCGCCGCTGCAGGGACCGGCGGCCGTGACAGGGTCTCGGCGGGTCCGGTCACGCGAGGTCACGGACAGTCACTGCGCTCGGCCAGAGCATCCGGTTGTGTGCGAAAAGTGGTGAGCGCGCAGGGCGATACGGGACTGGCCTACCGCCCGCCTGGCAAGGTCCAGTCAGCGATGGCCGAGCCGGGCCGACCTTACATCGGGCCGACCTTACAGCGGTGATGGCCGACTCCGGCTGACCTGACAGCGGCAGCTCAGATGAGCGGCTAATAACGCTAGCCGGGCCGGCCTGACAGCGGCAGATCAGATGAGCGGCTAATGACGCCGCTGTCATTCATGGCGTGCGGCGCGGACGTCGCCGCCCAGTGTCAGGTTTCGAGACAAATCAGACACAATTCGACACAGCATCGCTCCGCCGCGAAGGCCGCCGCCAAGCGGCCATGCCACCCGGGTGCAGAGCCCACCAGACCCTTTGCGCTCACATCCTCCACTTGGGGTGGTCGGCGAACTCGACGCAGAGCACGTCCTCGGCCTGGTCCGTGCCGAGACGGTGGTAGTAGAGCTTCTGGTTCAGGTTGGACGTGGTCTCAGAGCCGTCCGTGGTGCCCTCCTGGTTGAAGCGCTGGCGGCCACAGCAGCGGGGTTGTCAGCACCGCACAGTGCGGCGGGGACGGGAGCACGCGGGCACCGGTTCAGGCGTGCACGCCAAGCCCCGACCACGGGAGAGGGCCCGCTCACACACGTGGATCTCTTGTTCGGCATCGTGCACCAGGGTGCACAAATACGATCGGCATACCAACAAAAATAGTCACGTGGCCAACGTCTGCGGTGCCTGGTTCTATAGGCGTGCAATATTTTCCCTATACGCCAGACCAAATACATGACAATTAACACGTGCATGTATTTCACATCGATAACGAGCGAACTATGCAAGGCAATTGGGTAGTCAAACAATATGCCAACTGCATAGATAACCCAATTTGGGATATAATGACTACAGGACGCGTCATAATTACCCCATAGAATATTCCTTTGTTGTCATGGGTCCAAGCGATCGAGGAGAACTTCACCTTCTCCAACACCTCTGGATAATCTTTTCCCGTCTCGACACAGCTGAAATGACGCGAGGGCACAGTTTAACGCTCACGCTCAGCGAACAGACCACCGCCCATCCTAACACACATACAAACCTGCAACGCATCGCTCTCCGCCCCGCGCAACGGACTGGGGGCCTGTTGAAAGTCTCGGCACGACCGCTGCCCCACGCCTCCCGTTCGCCCCACACCGCACCAGGCGTGCCGGCACAGAGCGCGCCACCCACCGGAAGTGGATCTTGTTCCAGTCGGAGCCGCTGGTGCTCAGGCCGTAGGCGAAGGTGGCGCCGTCCTCGCTGAAGGCGCTGCTCGTCAGCGCCACGGTGCCGTCCTCCGAGAACAGGTTCGGGTCGACGAACACGCGCGCCTCGGCGTCCAGCGCGTCCTGCACGTGCAGCACGCTACGGGCGCCGGCGCCCGCCATCAGACACACGTGCGCACGCGCGCGCCACGAGAGGGCCGCAGCAGACACTCGACACGGAGGCAGCGCCCCGAATGGAGAGGCGTCCGGCGCCGTCGCGCGCACAGCGACTCAGCAGCTGCTCCGTGACCGGCTCGCCTTCGCCCGTGGGCAGAGCGCCGGTCCACGGGCGGAACCCAGGAGAACGCCGCTGGTACACAGGTCCAGTGCGAACACAGCATGAGCAACGCGAGACCACTGAGGCTAACCGCCGGAGAGAAAAGAAAGCTGTGACATCATTTTGTCCGCTTCTGGTTTTGGGTAGCGTTGGATAGCTCCAGATGAGGAACATCTCACATGTTCCGGTGTAAGTAGTTTGGTTATTCCAAAAAAGTGACAGGCTTGAGACACATGGCAGAAACAGGAAACTCTTCACCCGATTCGTCCGGAGAAAGGCGGTGCCTTGTGAAAATCACATACGGCTAATTGCCTCGCAGCGCCCTATCGTCACGCACGATGCTTTCGGCAGAAAGTAAATTGTATACCAAAAAAGCGACTCACTCCTTCTTCCTGCGGTTTTTTCATTCGACTCCTGTATTTTACTCCTTTCTTACTGCAAATTATTCCTCACTTATTTCTTCCTTCCTACACTGCTGCTGCACGACCAAACACCACGATTTTGCAAAATTGGGCCGAACTTTAAGCCGAGGCGCGCCGCTCTCCAGCAGCCGTTATTAGCCGTGGTCACAGCCATGGGCTGCCAGTCGTCTATTTAGAGGAGACACACACAGTCCCGAGAATTCTCAAACAATACGTGAGGAATAATCGGGGGGACTGAAGCAGCTGATGATTGCAATGGATCAGCTTCAAAGGCGGAGATGTCCGTGGTGATGATGATTGGAGTTTTAGACCGTCCGACTTCTGAGATCATTTTACGCCCAACGCGGAGATATCCTCAGTAAGTCAACGTGACGAGGCTGGTTCGGTTAAAAAGGCGGCCGTCTCATCATCCCACCTCACAGACAACCGTCCTGGTGCAACCTACAGGAAACCTCGACGGGGGACGAGTCTGAGCGGACGAGGCACCCAAGCGACAGCCAACAGCATACCGATGTCGTGCATGACACGCAAAACATCAGGTGCCGCCTCAAACCTCGACGAGGGACTAGTCTGAGCGGACGAGGAACCCAAGCGACAGCCAACAGCATACCGATGTCGTGCATGACAAGCAAAACCTCAGGTGCCACCTCAATAGGCTGAGACGGTATGGGAAGTTTGGTTTTGAGACACGCAACTTGTCTTGTGAGAGCCTACAACGCATTCGTCTGTGCAAAATATCTGACCTACCTGTTGCATGAATCTGAATATATAGGCAAGCCGCATATGACCGCCAATTACGTCAGGCGATGGATTCGGGGAATTCATAGTATGATCATTGAGCATACTATGAATTCCCCGAATGGTCACCAGTTCCGGCCGTTGCTGATCATTGATCAATAACAGCCGGCACTGGTGATCATAAAAGACACAGATGCTTCCTTTCCTGACAATAGGCATTTAGAATGAATTAAACATATGGAAGATATGGTTACTATATATCGGGTTAATGCTGTCATACGACCCCAGCAATCGCAGTTTGTCCATCGCCTAACCACGATATGCACGCATCGTGCTATTCACTATTCGTCACAATCAGAGCACAGGGACAGCGCTGACGGAAGTGAAAATCGCTACGGTACCCTCACGTCTCACGAAAATTATCTCTTACGAACAACCTAAATAAAAACCTTAAAAAAATAAATCTAAAAAAATTCTTACGAAAATCGCTACGGTAATCGCTACGGTACCCTTACACCAAACTAGACTTCCCTGAACAAGACTTATACAAAACTTGAGAGATGACGACGTTCATTTCCAGTTCCATCTGCCCATTACGTGCCATATCAGCTGACGCCACACTGCTAACTGTGCGGCCGGGCTCATTTACATCAGGCTCGGCCACAGGGCCGCCGGCCTGTCAGCGCCGTGTAACACAGAGACAGCCGCTGCTGCACGGCGCGCCCGGGATGACTTACCTCTGGTTCTGCAGCCCGGTGTTGTAGAAGTAAAAGTAGCGCTCGCCGCGCTTGAACGGGCACCCGATCTTGGGGAAGTCCATCATGGTCTTGAGCGTGTCGCGCAGCCGGTCGCGGTGCGGGCATGACTGTATGTACGGCATGGTCAGCCGGTTCTGCGCCTCGACGAACGCCTTGGTCTCGGGCGCGTCGGCGTCCTCCATCCACCGGTAGGGGTCGCCCACCTGGACCGCACCGCGCACCTCACGTCAACACAGGCGGCGCCGGCCGGGGCACGCGGTCCACACCCGGTGTATGAGCAATGGCACGCCCCAGGGGACCAGGCTGCCAGTCTCCAGTGATCTTGGCATGCGTCGGCAGTGTCAGCTCTTCGTGAGAATATCTTTTTCGCTCCTTAGCTGATCCCCAACTGGTCAGTTGGACTCGTGTTCTTCGTGAGAATCGATTTTCTGCCCATTAGCCTGATCCTAGTTGGTTACTTCGGCTAGTACTAGAGCTGGTCGCGAGCTATTTTAGTAAACCCTTTCTAGAATACTAGCGATAGGCATACATTGCACACAGCTGGCAAACTTTGTTGATCACCACATTAGTGGTGACCATTTTCACCATGACTCAAACGTTGCATCACGCTATCAACGTGGCCTGCGCTTCACATATTCCGTACCTACCACACCCCGTGTGTAAAGCAGTGACCTTACCCGTTGTTCATGTAACTCCTCCTCACATGTCTCGTCTCTCCTAGCTGTAGGGTATTCTAGAAATGACATTTTCTTGCCAGTCTGGTTTGTTTCAGAGCAGAAGGACTGGAGCCTGCAAAAACATCAATGACATTACACGCACTCACACAAAACCATGTACACCAAATGACGGCAAGGTGCGATTAAAAATGTATTGGGCAGGTAGTTTTTACGCCGAGAACGGCATCAAATTGACTGTGCGCAGTACGATCAAGATTGTATATTTAGTGACGCATCACTGACAAAAAACATGACTAATGCGTGTAGTTGTGTGACGATTTCGTGATTCACTGGTGTACCCGTGACGATCACGATGCGCAATGAAGAAAACTTGCAGTTCAGGCAAACACTTGCATTTATAGCTTTCTTGCTTTATATGTTTTACTAGCAAATGGTTTTGATCAAATAAGCAAAACTACTGGGTAGCAGTGGCAATGTGTAGAATTCAGGCCTCAAAAATTATCGTTCGGTGAAGGATCCCGCACTATATCTTAATTTTCATTCATCGGCCGATGTAATTGATACTTCTGAAAATGTTTGACGACCAAAGCGAAAAAAATGAACCTGATTACTTGACACCAAATACTGGGCGACAATATGTATTACAGCCATATATACATTTGTTGTTTGTAAGCAAACGTTTCTCTTTACCTCGGACGGTGAACATGCGAATTAATCGCTAGCGCGCGCAGTTATTCACAAAGGCAGAGCCCGTGCTAGCTTTTACTCCGATGAGGGAATGTGACACAGCAATGTACAGTGAGGCGCATTTCGGAACTATCCAAGTACCGGATTTCGGACGGCGGTTCCGTCCGGTCGGACGCCCGTGCCACACAAAGATGTGGTACATGCTGTCGTCCAACAGAACGAAACCTCTATTGCATCGCTAACATTACCAAAGCGTCGCCACCATTGCATTCCATATTCCCTCTTCTTTTGCGGCCACCGAGGCTTTTTAATCGAAGTATTTTGACTCGTCATAACTTTGTCTTTTTACGGATGAATTCCTTGATGCACAGAAATTAACATCAATATAAATGCACAAAGCATGATATAGCATAACCATTAACGTAAGTTTACATATCAAGTTTGCTTGGTGGTTATTAGCTTGCATGCCATCTGGTACGCAGTCTTTATAACACCAGGGGGATCAGCAGACGTTTTGGCCATAAGCCTCCATCAGCGTTATCCAGCAGATGATCGGCATCGCCGCAGCGAGAATAGTGACGCGATAGCCCGCCATCCTCCACAGGGAGGCCCCGGAGCGGCGCTACAATAGCACGTCACCGACTAATCCCGGCCTCTACAAGAGGCATGTCGACGATGTCTTCTGGGCCCACGGACCCCGCAACCTTCAGCAATACCTCAAACATGTCAACGAACCACACCTAGCTCCCACGTTTGCGACTGACACCACTGGAAAAACAGCGGCTCCATCCCTCTCCTTGGCACAAACATTCCCATGGAGCCCGTGGGGCCAACACAACCGAGCTGGACATCAGACCGGATCACCAGCCATCACCTATCACACCGCAAGCCCAGCCACATCGCTAACGAGGATTTGTGACCAAAATGTCTGCTGATAACCCTCCTCTTATAAGCGGTACCCACAATTCCATACGGCGCGCAGGCCAACAGCCACCGAGAAAACCTTCAAGAATGCCTTATAACATATAAGCTTGCAGTACTAAACTTGCGCGAGCAATTAAATTCTCTAACTTACTGAACAACCCGTCACAGCTAACGCCGCGCACACCTGCACCTTGTGTGCAGCGAAACCACCCACAACAGCGCTGACGCACCCAGTGCTGAACACCCTGACACGTATGGCTCAGAGGCGCGGCCACCGCGGTGCCCGGCTGCACGGTCTAGCACGCCACCGTCAAACTGCACACTTTCGACGCACGTCAAACCGAACCGGCACCGTTAGCGGGTGACATGTCCCGTTACGGCGCGCGGCGCGGCGGGCGAATCGAACGCCTGCCACATACCGATCCCACGGACACGACGCACACCAGCTGATAAGCGAGCCGGTGTGACGGCCGCGACTGGTCCGACCACTCGCGGCGGCGCCGGCCGCACGCTGTGCGCGCTGACAGCACACACCGGCTCTCCGACGACGGCTCCGGGAATTTGTGCGCAGCTGCCGTCGTCCGAACATAAACAGCTGCGCGGCCGACCCGCAGATTTAGTGGCAACGCTTGCAATATGGGAGGGGGAGGCGGGGGCGTTTGCCGAGGTCGGCTGTCTGAAAAGGCGTCCACCATAGCAGATTTGCATGCAAAGCAATGGCAGACAGGATATGGGACAAGCAGGCAAATGACACCGCGAAGCCCAGTGATTTCAGTCATTGGAAGCCAAAAAAGACACATCAATAGTCTGGGCTCATCTGCAAATGTCTCAATGAAATGTGTACAGGATACATAGCTGCACATGGTGATATACACTCAATGACTTTTGCAGTATCCTTCTTTGTTAAAAGGCTCTGTCATAATTCAGCTCAGTCCTTGCCACCCACAGTCCCACACACACAGTCTTTTCAGTACTCACTGGTGATATATACTCATGACTTCTGCAGTATCTTTATTCTTACTAAAGGGTTCACCATTATGCTGTCCTTGGCTATGGTATCGCCATAACCTGGGTCTAATGGGAGGCAAGGACCACCTGATTCCACAGGTGTTAAGTTTAAGACATTGGGCATGAGGAGAAATGTCTTTGAAACTCATTTGAAATCCTGAATTTTGTGGGAGCAAGCACTTTGAAAACAACTGCAACATGAGAGATTGTAATATGTGATGGAAATGCAGATTAATTAGCAGTATGCTCCAGCTCATTTTCAGCACCTGAGCGTGCCTCTGCTAGAGAATGTGTGTACTAACCTTGTGTTATTAATGCTGTATGAGTTCATAAACGAACTCGTGATCCTTGTTTAGCTTCAAGGACAATGGCAGTGAGGGGCACAACCTTGCATTCATTATCCTTCATTCACAGAAGGCTAAATAAAAAAACAACAGCAATGATGTTGAGCTACCTGTGTATGACCAGTTCTTAAATCTTACCATAACATCTATGAACAAATGGCTATGGAAGCCGGATGGAAGGTCATGCATAAAGGGTTAGATGCAATTCCACACACATGTAGTGTGAAGGGGTTAAGTATGCCACTGCAGAACAGTCTGCAGTTCACAGCACAGGTAAATTCTTGCATCTCCTCAAGGATCCTTGCTTTACATGAGCTCAAACCACCCAAATAGTTGTTTCAGGCAATACAATAAGCAAAATGCAGTGGGAAAAATAAGTATAAGGGCTTGTAAATTTGTTATTGTTTGCATTCCCTCATCACTACCCAGAATGTCCCATCACCATCATGGGATGGTGATGGAGCAATTTTTTTAAACACCGCAGTCACGTAAAATGTTCATACAAGTTCTGCTGGTGCTTCTGGTACTGATTATATCATGCCACACAGTCATCAGTTTGCATACTTGGTTGTATGTACTTGGTATACCATTGCAAATGTATGAGCCTGAGTATAAGTACCACGACAGACAGTTTTGCTTCCTTGATAGCCAGGAGGGTGCATGAACTTTGTTTTCATAAAGTGAGTTATAACTTTTATTTTATTTCCAGGGACCAAACATATGGAGCACCAAGAAATGGAAACAGCATCTGCAATTCTGCAGGAGCTGGCCAACCCAGGGTGTTCATGTCAATGTCCTTCATCATTGTATTACATGGGTTAGATGCACTTGTACAAGCCTATGCAACTCCCGAAGGGTGATGACAACTCATGTGAGTTACTTCTGTGGAAATGAAATAAACTGAAACATGAAATGTGCTTGTTTTAAGTGCCTACCGCTGCCACATACCTCACATGTCGCCTGTGGGGAAAATATATGGCGCACCTGAGCAAGTAAGACCGCATTCTCCACGACGCCTACACCTACCGATACCTTTTTCAAGAAACGGACAAAGATATCACGGCGCCGGCTCCCACCACGCGACGAACCCATCGTCCCCGTACCCGAAACTTATGGCAGTCCACCGTCCTGCAACTGACGAGAGCATTCTCGAGCAGTGAAGGTCCGCGTCGGAACAAAAGGACACCTACAACAATATTCGTTCGACCGGAAAACCACTAGCAGCACCAAAATCACCGACGGCTCATCTATTTCAACTAGATCATTCAAAGACCCGCAGAGCAAGACGTCCAGGATGCCAGCTATGCTCTTAACTCACCTCATAATAAGAAAACATGTTAGCCATTTTACCAAAGGGCGTGTGCTTTGCGAATGGTTTGGTGGGAAAATTCCAACATATTGCAGTCTTGAACATCCTTTTCAAAGTGCTTGTTTCATTCCTGCTCCTGCCATACCAACCACCATTCACCATCCAACTTGCGATTAAATTGAAAATCATAGCATTCAAACACACCACATATCGGCACTTTTAAGATAGAATCATGACATTAAATGGCATCCAAATATCACGTTTACGGGCGGCACTTTTTGTGGTAACGGCTTCTTTTGGGCTCTTAAATGTTATTGGAAATTACAAAATGGGAGTTTGTGGCATGCAGCATTCCAAAACTTATCATTACTGTTGCATAAATGATAGTAAGTCAACCACTTTTTAAGAAATCGGTAAATGCTGGCCTTTGAAGATTCGAGGATATCTTACTTATTTCACAATGGTATCATGTCTCCAGGCTCAACCAGTACCTGTACTTGTAAGATAGAGATGGTCCATAACCTGGCGGGAAAAAACAGCAGCACTTGTTGTCCTTCTCACAATGGGGCCTATGAGGAGACCCGAGGAGAACAAGCCAGAGTACAAGGCAGAGAACAGCAAGTTTTTGGCAGGGTCAGCCAAATTTTATTGAAAAATTTTATGTGTTTTGATATCACCCAGACATGGGCCTTCCTTAGAGGGTGTTGAAATGATGTGATATGCCTTAGAACAAGACATATCTATCAATTTGTAGTACAGGTACTGCATTATCTCGGCGTTGTCTTGCGCCACCAGAAGATAAGATATATTTGTAGGTGGCAAATTACATCTTGAAATGCATGGCTGTGAAGCTCTATTATTTTTCTACCACAAACTTAACAATTTGTGTTGGTGCAACTGGATAAATGGCTTTTCTTGGACTATTCATCCCAGCCTGTCATTCCATGAATGACCCGTGGTACTTGTACTTGTTGTCCCCTTGACAAGTGCTAGAATGCCATCACAATGTCTGGGAATGAGCCGGAACCCCTGTGCGCAGTTTGGTGTGGTGTCTTGATGTGGTGGGAGTGAGGAGGGCAGAGGGTGAGTGTAGCTGCTTGGGATTATGTGCATCGTGGTTGCGAGTTTGAGTTATTCAGTGAGGCAAAGTGGAATTGGTTGTCTTCAATTTTCACACAGCATGCATCCACACTTTAAAGTTGCTTGGGATTTAGTTTTGGACCACTATTAAGTTATTCCAAAAAGGGTAAATAAGTGCCTGGGAGCTGATCTACAAATGTTTACCACTGCAGGCTGATGCAAAATCACCTTGTTATAACCTGCTCTACCTACAGCTTGGTGGGTAGATAGGTAGGTACTGAGGTACCTATATACAACATTAATGCTAGGTTTGGGTTTTCCATGCGGGATCAAATATGAGGCTGACCTGTTTTCAGCCTGTGGTTATAATTGCTGTGATGTGACAGGTGGCAGTGCTGCCATGTTCCTTGCTGTCAGGCATAAGGTCCTGCAGTGGCACTATTAAAATTTTCCCTGCATAGGATCATAGGGGAGTTGGAAAAGAGGAGAGGGATAACAGGAGATGCAGGAAGAGAGGAAGAGCAGAAGTGGAGGAGTGGAAGGAGAAGAGTGACAGAAAGAGAAGGTGAGAAACTGAAAGAGGAGAAGAGCAGAAAGAGAAGAAAAGGAAGAGGAACACCTTTGGTATGTTTATATTAATTTTGTTAAGGCCTCAAGGACTACATGTTAGTGATGTCACATACATAGCTGGTTGCAGCTGCCTAAGAGTTATTAAAAAACCAGAGTGTCATGTGAAGTGTCTGTCCACAATTCAGTTTGTCGGTGGGCAGAGGATGCATTTAATTTATCACTTTGATATTGTGTAAGTTTGCATGTAGATAGGTAATGATATGTAAATGAGTTTTGTATGATGCACCTGTGAATGTTTATGCATGAAATTTTGCTGTTAACCTCTGTAACTGCATATTTCTTATTAACACACACCCTTAGTCTTTGCATGTATGGGCAAGCTAGTAGTACTACCCGGATATGGATAGGATCAGCGTGGCGCCCTCACTCACAAGAAGTGCTCTGTCCCACTGAAGAGCAAAATGGCATGCTGACACTAATTCTGCCAGAAAAACACTGGGAAAATGTTGATGTATTAATGGCAGTGTGTAATGTACTCCAACCAAGGTCCATTGTGCAGACACTCATTCCACATTAGACAGACCTTCTGCTTGCAGACAAGTTTGTACTCTGACCATGAAAATTTTGTACTCTGCCGCCAGAAAAAACTAAATTTCCCACCTTGTCATGATTTCCATTTATGCCTTCTGATGAGTTTCATTAAGCCTCTGGTGTGACAATTTATTGAAACTTAAATTACCTGAACTTCCAACTAATCAATAATTCCTACACATACACTCACACATTTTTGGAAAACATTTCTGCACCCCAGTCTAAGCCATATGACTGCACCAACAAGACAATGGCAAAGGCCACCTTGCTATACATACTATCAGAACCAGGGAGTCTCCTTGCCTTTTTTAGCCAGGCTAGAGCAAAGCAAAACAGGCTGGGAAGGTATTGTGCTCAATGATTCATTCTAACTGATAATTGTATGGTAAATAATTTGCATGATTACCTTGTATTCCATTACTTCTAATAGCCTCCAATAACAGCATCCAGGCGCAAAGATAAGGAGCACATCAAAAGTTTTGACAATAATGGGTGCAAATCTGTCAATGTTAAAAACATTTACACTGTA